AAAACCAATTTACCACTATATTTTGACTTTGAAAAAAAATTAGAAAAATATGTTATTTTAATAATATTTTAACTAAACTTATCTTTGTCAAAATCAAAAATTTCGACCCGTGTACCTTCACGTAAATTATGACAATCAGCTATTACTTTATTGTTACTTTGGCAACATGGTTTAGTATCATCGACAGTGTTATCAGCAGCGTTGATATCACATTTTTCATTTTCATTTTTCTATTAATTAAAATAGATAATTATTGAAACAAATAAAGAATATTGAAAAAAAATTGATTTTTTTACCTTAGGTCTATTTTTCGACCCTCTTTTACGACCTCTCTTTTTGGAAGATTTATTGAATATACAATATTGCTTTCTTTTTTCATCAATACACCTATCACAAACATCAGAGCCCTCTTTCTTTTCACATCTTAGACGTGATGCGCGGCACGGAACGCATGCATTAAGAGAATGATTGCGCTTTACATAAGGTTTCATTCCTTTGGCTTTTTTCCGTTGGCGACGATCAGGTTGCGGTCGTGAAGTTATTAGATATGTATGGTAATTCTGTAATTGTGAACTTAGTCCAGATTGTTGTGAATATGATATTGGATTATTATCAAATGATTTTGGATCTATATTAATCAATGAATCCATATAATGTAGTGGATATAACTGATTCAGATCTATATTATAAGCCGGTTGACCCGTATAAAATAATGGTGAATATGATATTTGATTATTATCCAATAATGGTGTATTTGTATTATTATCCAGTGATAGTGGATTTATATTATTTTCCAAAATCGTGGATCTATGTTATTATTACTCAATGATTGATGGCAAAAGAAAAAATAAAATAAATAAGTGAAATTTTAATAAAATTTTTGCCAGTTTTATATCAAAAGAATTACACAAGTTCTTCTATTGTAACTTTCTAGAACTCCGCTGAAAACCTTGGCATAAATATAAATATTGTTAAACAAATATTTATGAAAATTATTATTACTTATGTATAATACCAATTTGTGTCAATATAGGTTTGTTAAAAAGTAAAACATCTCTTTTTGGAAAACTCGATTTGACCTATTTGATAAAACGAATTTGCTCAAACAAGGAATTGTGTTACAAATAGAAACCTACCTGAAAAAAATTAAAATGAAGTGCGAGTACAAGAAGCTGGGGAATCAATTTAAGAATATTCTATTATAAATTAATATTCTTGTTTTGAATTAAATAATTTGGTAAATTATGGTACAGAAGGAAAAGCGTTGTTTATTATTAATAATAATAATCAGTCAAATATCTTGAAATTATGGGTGTGCTTATAATGTTATGTCTAGCAAGTATCTTCGCAGAGACATAAGTAAAGTTTTTTCTAAAAAAAATATATTTTATGGTAAATAAAACCAAATTAGATTCATTTATTAACCTGTGTATTTTAATTAAAAAAGATAAATAATCACTTTAAATTTTATTAAAGTATGCGTGAATTAAACATGAAAATTGAAATTAAATATTAATCAAAAAAAATTACTATTATTACAGTTGTTATTATTATTATTATTAATTAGTTTGCAGCAGTTCAAAGAGGGTAAATACTGTGTATAATATAATACAAAGACGTCAATATTTTGTACATATGTTTCTATTTTCATTTCTCTTGCCTATTACACATTAGATTTTTATTCTACACGAAAAAGAATTATTAATGAAGTAGTTTTAAACAGGTAACAGATAACATGCCATTAATCTTCATTTACAATTTTCGTTGTTATTATTATATACACGATCCATTTAAAAATATTTTATTTATAAAAGTTTAAAAAAGAATGAAAAAATTTTTAAGGAAAAAAAAAACGAAAAATTTTTTTAAAAAATAAAAAACGAAATTTGATAAAAAGAATATAATATGCACTCCCTGGACAAAATAAATTTCATCAAATTATGGCTAAAGTTCTCAAGAATATGTATGCAAAATTTCAAATTTTTATGTTTGGGAGAATAATAGTAATAGTTAAAAAAAATAAAAAGTTCGACCAAAAATAATTTTTTGGAAATCAAAATTTTGATTTTATTTGTAAGTATTTATACCACTTCTCAAATATCAAATTCATATAAATATTTCTAGGAATTTGATTCCATTCTTCATGTAAAGCGGTCTCAAGTTCAACATTATTTTTAAATTTATTTGGACGAATTTCTAATTGATTCTACAGATGCTCTATTGGATTCAAATCAGGAGATTGACTTGGCCAATGCTTCGGAATCTAATCTTTCATATTAATATGTCACGATTTCAGATGTGGTTATTATGTAGGTTTCTGAGAAACTGATTTTTTTTGGCAAACTACGATTTTTCAGAAGATTTTTGGTCGAACTTTTATTTTTTTAACTGTTATTCTCCCTAACATTATAAAAATTTGAAATTTTACTACATATTATTGAGAACTTTAGTCACAATTTGATGAAATTTATTTGTGTTTTATTATGTACGTTTTTGCGTAATTAATTGTTTTGTGGTGACCGAAACTTTTGTCCAGGGAGTGCATATTATATTCTTTTTATCAAATTTCGTTTTTTATTTTTTAAAAAAATTTTTCGTTTTTTTTTCCTTAAAAAATTTTTAAACTTTTATAAATAAAATATTTTTAAATGGATCGTGTACGTATATATATAATAATAACAACGAAAATTGTAAATGAAGATTAATGGCATGTTACCTGTTACCTGTTTAAAACTACTTCATTAATAATTCTTTTTCGTGTAGAATAAAAATCTAATGTGTAAAAAGAAAGAGAAATGAAAATAGAAACATATGTACAAAATATTGATGTGTTTATATTATATTATACATAGTATTTACCCTCTTTGAACTGCTGCAAACTAATTAATAATAATAATAACAGCAATAATAACAATAAATTTTTTTGATTAACATGTTTAAATCCACGCATGTTTTAAGTGATTATCATTTTTATTAAAATGCATTGGTTAATCTAATTGGTTTTATTTACCATAAAAAATATTTTTTTTAGAAAAACTTTACTTATGTCTCTGCGAAGATACTTGCTAGACATAACATCATAAGCACCTCCATAATTTCAAGATATTTGGACTATTGTAAAAACAAAAAAAA